AAATAAAGCATGGGAGGTGATGGATAAGAACTAATAAAAAGTAGAAATGTTCGTTATGGGACTGATTTCTCCATTTTGACGTTTTGATTAAATAAGTGGTCTAAATCAGCTGTGTCCAATCTGGGTTCTGGAAGGCTGATTGTCCTGCATATTCTACATGTTTTTCTGCTCCAACACACCTAATTTAGTTATTGAACTACCTCTTCAAGTTCTGCAGAAACCTGCCAATCATCTATTGATTCAAACCAGAAGTGTTTGAGCAGAGAAACCACTCAAACATGAAGGATAGTGGTGCTTGAGGACCAGGATTGGACAACGCCGCACTAAACGGAAGCAGCTAAAATGAACAAGAATATTGCACTGCGTCAATGTTTTTATTCACTCTAGTTCTATTTATTCCTCTTTGTTACGACTTATTAATAGAAGTAATACGTGTTTGGTGTAGGCTATGAACACATTTATTTGTAGCAGCAAACAAAAAGGATGAAGACGAGACAAAGGAGGTAAAGAATCCCTGAGATGGTGTGAATGTGACGCAGAAATTTTGTTACAACCTATTGGCAGGAAATAAGTACTGAAATGTATTAAACTGATTTTTCTCCAGATGTTCTTTTTTTTTAACTTTAGTCCCACAGATGAGTGTTAGCTTCACAGAGTGTCTCCTGTGTTGCATAATGCACTTCAAAATGCAACTCAGCCAGTTTGATTGTGTAACTGCGTCCACACAATTGAGTCAAATAAATGCAGTTCAATATATATATATTCATATTCTGAGACCTGCATTTGCAGTTGTGCTACTGTTCCAGTCCTAAACCCACACATGCCAGCACCAACGGTCTGGAAGAAACGGGACAATCGATCAAATACTGCATTGCACTTTGTTTAAGGCGAAACATTTTCAGTGGAAAGCAATGTAAACTTAAGGCAGCATGGATCGAATGTCTTGCATGTTTTTTTTTCTATCTACTATGACTCATAGCGGTTTGTCATGTTAATAACTCAGCATTAAACAGAAATAAATGCACTCTTTTTCCAGGCCATAAATTACAAAAATACCTCTGGTATTTGTGCACACAGTTTGTGCAGCATGTGTGCAGACGTCATGCGCTGTACATTGTTCAAACGCTCCAACACTCAAATTATCACAACAACTGGCTCCAGCAGCCAAACTATGAAACTTAAAATAAATCTTAAATACACTTTTTTTTCTTTTAGCACAGTGAGACCCGACCTACGTCTGAAGGTAGAATGGTTGCAAGTAATTCAACATGTTCGAGTCGAGCCACGTTTTTCGAAGTGACAGCCAGTCTCTGTTCCTTTGTTTCATTTGCCTCTCTATAACTCCTGTCAGTGTTTTTCAAACATGTGGAGAGCAATATGGAGGCAAGATAAATGGTAAATAAATATCAAAAATTGTTTAAAGCACTGAAAGCTGGTTAACAAAAAAGGGCGAGTGAAAGGAATAAAAAAAATACGATACTGATCAGGTATCAGAGGCCAGTCTGGTGACAGGAGCAGGTGAGTATTTGGGTGGGATGACCACCACAGGGTCACCTTTCTTTGGCCGCCACATAAGCACCTGGGCATCATTGGCGTTAGGCTTGACCATGGCGTTGGGAGGTATGGGCTCGTTCTTGTACAGTTTCTGAGGCTGGTCCTGGGCCACGGGCTCCCTTAAAACAGCCCTTTGACCCAGGGGCTTCTCCGGGTCCACGTCGATGTGAAGACGCATCCTCCAGCGGACCGTCTGCAGGACCACCGTCTCTGAGGTGGCCTGGTTGATGGCAACTAGCCAGGTGGTAAAGCTCTGATCACGGTGGATACTGCTAAGCAGAGGCACGTTGCTGTCGCTGACCGGGACCCCCCAGGTCACGCTGGGGTAAAAATTGTCATTCATGCTAACAGTGAATTTGCTCTCCCTCTTGGTGGGCCCTACCACAGTAAAGGTCTCGGTTGTGTTGCCGTACCACGGGTAGTTGACCCCGTCTGAATCGCTGATGGCCTGGATCTTGCTGTCTCGCAGGTCAGGAAGTTCCCAACTTGACCTGGAAGGTAAAATAAGTCAGGAATGAGAATTAATGAAGAAAGTGTTCTTTTCACCTTGCAAGATGTAGTCAACAGGAATAAAAAAAAGGAATTCAAAAAGCAAACTTTTCACAATTTTGACAGCTCTTCTACAACTTAATTTGAATCTTTATCATTGTGATTAAAGGGGTGAGTGTAAAAATAGACTTTTTTGAGCTTTATAATATGTAATATAT